GTGCTACCACGAAGTCAAAAGTCATCGTGACCGTGGGTTTGAGCGTGCTGACCATGATCAGATTGTTGATCACGCTAGATAACACGCTCATTCCCAGAAACTGTAACTAAGGTCTACTCATCATAGTTGACCTCCGTGGGTGTTGACTACGAGTGGCCAGCTACGACATGCATACATACATATATATATATATATATATATATATATATATATATATATATATATATATAAACACAATCGTTCAGGGTTTGAAGGCACCCCCAGAAAAATGGAAAAAAAATATATACTACTAATATGTTGAGATCTCGAAATTTGAAAATATTTTCGGCTGATACTTCTCTAATCATTGCATTTTAAATACAGTTGTTTTCCTTCGTTTGAAAGATTTCTTCTGGCAGTTCATAAATATAAGACTTATTCATTTTATCGATTTACTTCTGGAATCTAAAACGGCATTTTTCCTGCTAAGCCACCGAAAGGTTAAATCAAAATTCTTATCCATTTTTTGTCGTATTCTTATATCTGCCGACACCTTCCCTCATTTCTTTCCATTATTTTTGCGCCAGTATCGATTTTCATTCCCATTATTCAAATCAACAGTAATATTAATTAATTTCAATATTTTCTTTTTTTTAATCGATCGTTTTCGTTCGCCTTGATTTCATTTTTAATGATTTGAAAAATGTTCATATGCAAAACATATTTTGCCTTCATTCTTTTTTTTTTTTTTGTTTAAGTGTTGCTAATTTCTTGTTTTTACTTTAGTGTTGATTCCTAACGAATGTTAAGTCATTGTTTATTTCTCATATTTCTAATTACTTTAATTTTTCTATTTTTCTCCCTCCTGTTTTTTGCATTTTTATTTTCTCGATTATTTTATTTTATCATTCTATTCGTTTCCTCCATTTTGTTTTCATATCGCTATTCCCTTCTGTGTTTTTCATTATCTTTTTAGTTTATCATTTTTGCCATTCAATTTATTTCACTTTCCGTTTTATGTTTCTCATATTAATTTAATTTCTTTTCTTCGTTATTTTTTTTTCTTATGTCTCATTTACTTATTCTCATTCTTTCCCTTACCCATTCTCATTATTCTTCCTGCATATTCATTTTTGGTCATTTTCTTTTCGATTATCTTTTTCACTTGCTTTCTTCTTTTATTTTGCGCTCTCATTGTCATACTTTCTCTCGTTTTTTTGTTTCATCTTTCTTTCTTTTTCTCTTTCCAATTATCATTTGCTTTCTTTCTTTTCTCTTTCCAATTATCATTTGCTTTCTTTCTTATTCTCTTTCCAATTATCATTTGCTTTCTTTCTTTTCTCTTTCCAATTATCATTTGCTTTCTTTCCTTTCTCTAGTTACGTTTCTTCTACTTTTTTTACTTTTCTATCATCATTCTGACTTCTTTTTATTACGCATTCCTTTTTTTCATTTTCCTTCCTTTTTTATATTTTCCTTTTTCTCTTTTCTTTTCTCTCTTTTACTTTCTATATATATTTTTGTTATTCTTTTCATTCTCTTTCTTGTGTTTTCATTTTCTGTCTCATTATTTTCTTTCGTTTTCTGTTTCTTTCTTTATCTCACCTCTTTTTCTCTTCTCCCTTGTACCTTTCTATCTTTCGCTCCCGCCTTTGCCTTTGTTCTCCTGTTTTATTCATTTTGTCTTTAACCATTATTTCTTCTTTTAGCTCTTTTTCTTTTTTGTAACTTTCCTTCTATATTTTTATTTTTATTTTTTTGGTATCCTTTTGTTTTCTTTTATTCATTATCTCTTTTTTTTTTCTCCGCATCAGCTCCCGTACTCATCTTCTTCTTTCTGTTTATTTTACATTCTTTTCTTTCATCTTTTTCCAGTATTTTTCTCTTTTATTTAAACATCGCTTTACTTCTCTTCTTTCTCGCTTTCTTTCTTTCTTGCTTTCTATCATTCTACGATTCTCTTCTATTTGTTGTTTCTTGCTTAATTGTCTCTTTCTTTATTTCTTGCTGGCTTGCTTTTTCCTTTCTTTTATATTTTACGTTTTATTCTTCTGTGTTTCTATTTCTAGTTAAATGAAGTGTTTCCCTCTTAATTTCTTTTGTTTTTAAATATCGTCATCGTTTTTTCAATTCCCAACGAACTTATTTTTATTCTTCTTCATCTTTCCTTTCACTTTCACTTTCACTTTCACTATTTTTTCTTTATTCTTTCACCTCTCATTTTCTACATGCTGATTCCCTTTCACCACGTCTTATTTCTCTGCTTTTTCACCTCAGTTTATTCTGACATTTTCAAATTTCATTGACGTTTCTCTTTCCTGAAAATTCATTCAAATTTCATATTCTTGTCACGTTTATTTATAACAATCTCCTTCCACGTTTCTTACAGATTTTCTATTTTTCAATATAATTTTATATTTTACGTTAATTCCTTTCTAATTCTTTCTCAACTTTATCGTTGATTCTATTATCTTTCTCTTTTTACAAGGTTTTCTTTCGTGTTTTTTTTCTTTCTTCCTAGTTTTTCATAGATTACTCATCGTCTTTTTCAAGTTACATACATATTTTTAATATCTTCATTCTCGTCAGATATTTCTTCTTATTACATATAAACATTTCCTTGCAACCTCTTTGTATTTATTTCTGAACGTTTCTTCTTATCTTTCAACATTCTATTTTTTTCCGTTTTTCATTTTCACTTTCTCTTATCGAATCTCTACTTTGGGTGAAAAAATCATCCAGAGGGCTGAAGGTGTTCCTGGTTTCTCTCACCTGAAAATATACGCCGATCAGAGATACAAGGTTATATTGAACCATGAATCTTTTCAAAAATATTAAACATTTATAAATAAAAATATCGGTTAAATACGACATTGAAAAGAACATGTTCTTATTTATGTATCATGTTTTAGTTTGAATCTAAGCGCAACATTATTATTTGTCGCAAGAAACACATTCTGAGAAAAGGCAAGTACACGTGATGAAAAACCAATGAGTACAACTTTAATCAATATTTAGAATTCATCTTTTTTTTTCCTGTTTTCATTTTGGTCATATTTTTTTAGTTCACATTGCAAAAGTTTATCGATAAATCTTCGATTATAAATAACTTTTAATTATTAAAATCTTACACATTTATATAATGAATCACAAGTGCATTACGATGCCAAACCTGCCGATTTCTCTTTTGATTAATGTTAGCACATAAATGCTTCATGAAATTCATTTCAGCAGGTAAGCACATCGATCGATTAGAATTTAGCTATCAACAGATAGATAGATAAACAGATTAGAATAGATAGATAGATAGATAGATAGATAGGCAGGCTTTTAATAAATATTCGTCCAATGCAAAACGCAAGAACTACACTTAGGTATGAATGTAAGAGGAAGAATTAAATGCAGATTATGAGGATATGTGTGATAGATAACGGTTCCTCCTAGATTTGAAAAGCGTAAGTTTGTATTCTTCAGGAAGCATCCTCTAGGGAGTTTCTCCGAAAACTTTCGCTAAGAATTGTCTGAGTATAACTTCCTTCTTACCAATGAAATACGAAGGGAATAATGATGATTCCTCACGTTACATGCAGCATGGTGGGTCCTAACTGTCTAATGGCGGGTCCTAACTGTGACAGAAGTAGTTTTTGGTCTTATCTGACTATTGTAATGGTAGGACATCAGAGGAGAAGTCACGTACTTTCTGGAGAGGCACAAGGAATCGGCCTCTTCGGAGATGGATCGTATAGGTGAGTACCCCTCCAGATCTGCAGTAAACTATAATCGCAATAAACTAAAGTTAGGAGTCTACTTGAGAGTCCAACCACCTATCATGACTGGAGAAAATTCTAAATTGATCAGTCATAGATAGATAAAATTATACATGGGAACGGACATAGATAGATAGATAGATAGATAGATAGATAGATAGATAGATAGATAATGAAGAGACTATGAGATAAATACATGGATAGATAGATCGATCGATCGATCGATAGATAGATAGATAGATAGATGAATAGAGAAGCTATGAGATAGATAGATAGATAGATAGATAGATAGATATAGATAGATAGATATGAAGAGGCTATGAGATAGATAGATAGATAGATAGATAGATAGATAGATAGATAGATAGATAGATAGATAGATAGATATGAAGATGCTATGAGATAGATAGATAGATAGATAGATAGATATGAATAGACAGGTATAGGCGATAGTGATTTCCGTTATTATAAATATATGTGAAATATAGAAAATATATTCTGTATATAAGGTATCATTTTTTAATAGACCCGGTCTCGATACTATACTAGCAAATCTTGATCATTACGAAAAAATGATAGATTATTGCATACATGGTGCTGATTTTCACATCTTATTCAGACGTGAGCCACCTCCTCACACTTTACTTGTATTGACTTTCGTCTCCTTTCGGTGTCTATAAGACCCTAAAATGTCTCTTCAGACTAAGATTCGATTTCATAGGTATCATGCAGATATGACTGATAAACTCTATATCCTTGATTGGGTTGATTGGATCTGAAAGCCCTACAACTCTCATGTGTACTACCATGCGCTTTTTCAGTCCAGATGATGACCTGCAAATCGTGTTGCAAACAACGCAGTTATTGTTAGCCGGACGTTGAATCATGTTATCATTCTTCTGGTTGATATGATGAACTTTCAATGGTTTACATGAAATACCATCGAGAACAGCATGCGCTCACACACAACACCTTTCCAAGACTGCGAATCAGAAGGATTGCCTCCTCGGAGATCACGCTTGATCTGAACATACCTGAGAAATTCATCCTCAATGACATTGCACCCCTCCCTTATAAAGTGCATCGACTCTGTACAATTTAAAGTCAGTTCTTCTCATTGCTGTACATCCAAGTGCAATGCATTCAGATTACCCATCAAATTATCTTTACACCTCTTCCTAAGCTTGTGTTGGGGACGCTTTCCTGTCTCAATTTCCCCATAGTTTGGGAATCCTGTTATTTTTCCCATTCTCACAACGTGTTCTGCTCATCGCATCTAGTTGAGGATTATTATTGTTTCAATGCTGTTGCATTCAGATATTTGGGGGATAAGAGTGTCTAGAATCAAAGACTGTCATCTGATGTTAAATATGTATCTAAGGTGTTTTGTGTTGGAATCGCTTAAGTCATTCTATATGCCTTCAGTATGTTGTCCATGTTTCAGAAGAGTACACCAGAGATATTAAGACAGAAGCTGTATACAATTACCTTAGTCTTAATGCTAATGCCTCTATCTGACCAAAATCTACTTCACAAATTATCAAATAAACTTGCATTCTCAATACGTGAAATCTTAGTATCCAGGACACCTTCTTTTGGTAGAGTACTTTCAAGCTATGAAAAAGTGTCAATAACCCCAAGCTGATATTTTTCACAAATAGTTTTGACTCTTTGTAGTTTAAGTCATATACATAAAACCAATTTTTCACTTCAAAACTGTGTATCTGGTTAAAACGAGTGAAAAATAAATAATTCTCAAGTATACTAAAGGCACAGGCTACAAATGGTTCATCTCTTCGTCGAGTTAAAAGACAGTGAATTGTTTCAAAGTCTGTCTCGGGATAAAGAACTTATGGATGTCAACCTCAGAACTCACCTTTTAAACAGATGTAAGCAAAACAGCCTTCGATTATTCGAAGATTTTGAATGAAACTTTGAGAGGTCGTTTTTATATTCTGCTACCGTAAAGTAATCATGAAAATACACTGCGTGCCAAATTATTATCGAGATATCTTTTTTTCTAATATTTCAAAAACTGTCCAATCAATTCACAGGAAATTTTCACACAATATTGGCAATACTGACCTGCGCAATCACTAAAATTTTCTTACTGATCTGCTCAATGTAAACAAACTGGCGCCATATTTGTTATCAGCACGGTGATTTGAGCGTGCCACATTATTAGAAAAGTGTAAGCAGTTTAAGTGATGCTGAAAAGAAAACTATCACCTCAAAACTCTCAAAAGGTAAATCTACTCTAGAAATTTCTAAAATGATAGGGAGGTGTCATCAAACAGTGAAAAAGTTCACCACCGACCCTACACAAGTACGTAAAAGTGGAGATAAAGGCAAGCCGAAGGTTATTTCACGTCGTCTCATGTCATTACTTAAGAGAGGCCACGAACAACCCTGGTCTTACGAGTCAACAGCTTTTCAGTCGCATTGGTGATCCTACTGTGACAAAAAATACTCGATGTCGGTATCTGAGGGAAATAGCAACAACAGTCAAACCTGTATCGAAGCCTCCGTTGACGAGAAATCATATTCAAAATCGATTGAAATGGGCCGAGGACAATATGAAGATTGACTTCTCTAAAGTTTTGTTCACAAACTAAACTCGAGCAAAATTTGAACGCCCAGATAGATGGTGCAAAGTCTGGATAATGAACCGACAGAATCACCATCAGCGTTTGAGACGCCAACAAGGCGGTGGAGGCATAATGATCTGGGGTGGTATTATTGGAAAAACATTAGTAGGCCCATGGAGATTACCAGATGGCGTCAAAATGACCCCTGATGCATACTTAGCGTTTATGAAGGAGCATCTTGAACCGTGGATGTAAAGGCAAAGAGTTGCCTTCAGAAGGGCCATTGTTTTCATGCAAGATAATGCTCCCTCACATGCTGCTTACAAGACTACTGAATATTTGAAACAGTTAGGCTTCGATGGACCTCGAAGAGGCCAGCAAATTCTTCGGGTTTGAACCCAATTGAAAACCTTTTCAGTATTATGAAGCGAAGTCTGTACGCCAACGAACGATAATTCAGGAGCAACGCTGAGTTGCGGTAGGCAGTTCTTGACATATCTCGAGGCATTACAGCAGATGACATCCTACAATTAACAAATTCTATGGATCGTCGACTTCTTCAAGTAATTTCAAAACAGGGAAAACACATTCCCTATTAATTTGTTTAAAACTGAGCCTTTCTTTGTATATGTTATTATTTGTTTGATTATCTTATTTATTAGCTTCTCTTGATCATAAACATTCACGTGCAACATTAATAAACGTTTTGTTTGCTCAATTCTGGGAATTTTACTTAACCTTTCTAATAATGTGGTACGCTCAAATCACCGTGCTGATAACAAATATGGCGCAGATCAGTACGAAAATTTCAGTGATTGCGCAGGTTAGTGTTGCTAACATTGTGTGAAAATTTTCAGTGAATTAATTGGACGGCTTTTGAAATATTAGAAAAAATATATCTAGATAATAATTTGGCACGCAGTGTATATAATCTCATACAAAAATATTTATTAACCTCGTGTAAATAAAGTTGGAAGATAATCCAACGTAATATTATATAATTCGGAAAAGGTTTAACTTGATATTGAACTGGCTTCATCAAAAAAAATATTTTCAGAAGAAAATCTACATTAGGGAAACAAAACATGATTCAGGTTAGGTGGCTTAATTCTTGTTTTTTTTTTCTTTATCAGCATCATTAGAGGAAATAGGTTTCATTTGACTCA